AAGTTGATCTGATGACATCTAAGATTCTGCCTCCTATAATGGGTGCCTCAGAAGTCTCTGCTCAAAACCAAGATAAATCCTTTTACGCAGCAAAAGCAATAGCAGATGCCATCGCATCAAATAAATTACACATCGAGTTGATATGGATAAAGTCACCTTCAACTGTAGCAAAATTAAACAAGATAGTATCAAGCCCAGATATCAATCTTGTCTCAGATGATATTGTTAACAAAGTTTTGAAAATAATTTTGGATGCTTCCAATTCATCATCACATGTGAAGGTTGATACAAAAAGGCCCCAAACAGGGCTAATATCTGCTTCAGGCATTGTCAGTGACTTGAAATCAGCTAAGCAAATTGCAGCCACTCTGCCCCAAGGTACACCAATGTTTTCTCAAGCATCTTTGGAATTAATAATGAGAATTGCTGAAGAATTAGTTAGAAAACTGTTAAATAAGTGTCTGCTGTTTCAAGGTCACATCACAACTGATTCACATGTCGGAATAGCTCAAATCACTGATGCCAGTGAAAGCAAACCAAATGAAAATGTGTTGATTGGATCAACAACGTCCAACTCAGACTATGAGAGGCTCTTTACTATAATAATGAAGGCAATCACCGATCTTTTAGGACTTAAAGTACAGTTGCCAAATGAAAATATGGCTGAATTAACAGCAGACTCATCATTAGTAAAGGAAAAGCCAACACCCACCACTGAAGTATCTGTCAAAGGAAAGCCAACACGTTTAGAAGAATCCAAATTAATTCCAAATGATGCATTTCCAAAATCTCAAGGCAGCTCTGCTTTGCCACAAACTATTATAAAAAAACTGGCCAAACCACGCAAATTATCTTTGACTAAGATTGCAATTAGTCCCACAAAATCTTTGTCATCAGAAAGTCAAAAATTAGGAAACAAACCAGAACGCTTACCAGAAGCGATTCCAAAATCAAAAAAACCTACGACAAAAAAGAAGACCAGTACTTCAAAAAAACCTCCCATTAATCAAGCTGGGGACAGACTTCCTGTTTTCCAAAAGGTGAAAGAAATAAAGGTAATAAAAGATGATAAAACAGAGAAAATTGCTGTTAAAAGTAAACCTCATAAACCTCTCAAGGATACACATGATGACAAATCTGCGATGCAGCAACTTGACTTAAAAGATGATAAACATGTTCAAGAAGCATTTGATGAAAAGCTTGTAAAGTTGCTTACAACTCAACTTAAATGTGAGATTTCAGAAATGGTTTTGGGACAAAAAAAGATCGATCGTGAAAGCTCTTCAACTAATTTAAGCGATTCTTGCCTTGACCTTGTTTCAGAAGATACCACAAAATCTGTTATGGACCACATCAAAAAAGTCATTGACCTTTCACTGCATTCACTTGAACAAAATCCTGAGATAAACAAGGAGCAATTGTGTCCCATTAAATCATCAGAGACATCAGAAACTACATCAGATTTCACAGAGTGCTTTACAAAATTGTTCAGTGATATGGCAAGCTCAGTTTCTCAGTCATGTAAGTTAGGCTTAACTTCCCCAGATTTTTTAAATGCTATTTATTATGAAATAAAGAAGTCATTAACATCTCATAAAGAACTAAAATCTGAACCAGGCCAAATAGCAAACAATGCCAGCACAACTCCTGAAGGAAAAAAGCACTTCAAAACATTTGGGGATCAAGTTACAAACCGGCTTCATGAAATATTACAAACAAAAACTGAGATGCTAGTTTCTGACGCAAAAGATTTAAAAGAGCCGAAGACAACAGACACTGCAAGACGTATGAAAGAGGAACTCATTAAGTTTGCCTTACAGCAGCTTTTAAATGATGAAAAATTTTCCCAAGAAATCACAAATATTATTGATGGCGAAAGAAAAATAATTTCGTCCCATATAAGGCACCTTGAGGCTTTAATTACTCCAGGTGTTTTGCAAGATATTATTTTAAAAACTGTTAATATTTTACTTAAACAGATAGATTCCACATTAAGTTTCATACCACTTGAATGTGAAGTGAACGATGTTTCACAAGAACTTGTTAATGTTGTTGTTGCAGAGGTGGAAAGGAAATATGCTTGTGAAGATTCATTTGAAGTTCAGGATTCAAGTTTAAGCGATACTTGTGAACTACATCCAAAGAAGACATGTCACAATAATACTTTTGCCAGTACTCTTACTTCACTTGACTTCGTAAATGATGTAACTAAACAAGTCAAGAAAATTCTTTGTGCAAAATCACTAATGCAAAATCAGGTAGTTCTCAGAAAGCCTATAGAACACCAAATACAATTCCCTGATTCTGGAACAGAAGATATTGCATCATATTTGGACTTAATTTCAGTCGACCTCATCCACTTTATTCTGGAACAAATTCAGCACTTTATTAGTTGCCCTGGATTTGTAAGTGAAATTCAACTGAGCCAATCACAAACAACAAGCAGTGAAATATCCATTATCGATATTAGTTCAAAGGATACTTCTGCTCCAACAATCTGTAGTGAACATTCATCTTGTAGCTCAAAGACAAGTAAAAAGAGGATCTCATTCAGTATACCTCAAGAATCAGTTTGTCAAAAAGTATACTCAAGTAGCATTTCATCAATGGCAGATAGTATGACTGAGGAATCATCAGAAGTGTGTTATCATGAGCCAGGTATATCTGGGTTGACAAAGATGTCTGAAACGTTGATTGAAAATGTAATTAATTCAGTACTCAAGTCTGAGCAATCGAGTGAAGAAGGTGGAGTATGTCCATTTGCTAAAGCACCTGTTTCAGTCAATGAAGATATGCAAAGTAATTTAGTACGTTTCATCTTAGAAGAGAAAAAGAAATATCAGTGTTCAAATACTATAGTTTCTGAACGTTCAGAATCACCATTTGATCAAAGAGCTGAAAAAGCTGTTTGTGGAATGACTGATGAATTTGACACATGTTCCTTTCCCTCACGGACTGATTCAGGTGAAAAACAGATCTGTGGGGGAAAATCAGTTTGTGAGTGTCAGAAACAAGAAGCTGAGAAGACCTGTTCAGGACATAAGTTGGATGAAAATATTAATGTCATATTGTTACCCCATGTGATGAAGTCTATCACTGAGTATGTGAAGTATAGTATATATCTGAGTCAATTAGACCAGTTATGTGGGACAAAAGAAGCAAATAAGTTTAAAAATGATATGACAAGGCGAGAACTGCAAGATTTCTTCCTGGAACTAGTAACAAAAGAGATAATACAGAAAATTATGGAATGCAAAAAACAGGCCTCATTTCTTGACAAGCCACGACCACAATACATAGAAAAAGATGTCCAGGTTAAGGAAATTGAATACACAACTCCCGATGATGATAGCAATGATACTGTGTGTCCACTAACTCGAAAAGAGACCATTACATCATGGGCTACAATGCCACCAGTTTGTGATACAGAACTTTATGATGAAAACTTTATGTCACTTGATGGACTCAATAATGTATTGTGCATGGAAGGCGAAAAAGCTTTGTCACATGTTTCCGATTCAGTCTTACCAAAACCAATTGTATCTGATCGCAGTTCATGTACTTCACAGTTCTCAGATACAATTATTTCAACTATGTACCAAGGATTTGAAAGCAGTTTTGAGGCACCATGTGTCTGTTCATTCAAGCCTTCAGAGTCTGATGTCTGCAAGTATCCCGATGAAGAAAGCAGTCCGATACTGTTTTCTGACAAAGAGAGTGTATGTACACTATCAGCCATTGAACCACCAGTTTCAAGAAAGACTAGTTCATATGGTGGAACCTGCACTTGTCCACTACATTTTGAAGACAGAAAACTCTCTGTCTCTTCAACTGAAGAACATATTTATTCAACAGGAAGCAGTGAAGCAGAAAGTCTAGTTCAATCGGCTCTATGTAATGCTTGGGCTGGTATTGCTTCTGAAGAACAGCTGACCTCAGAGGCACATGAACATGATAAACTACATTCTGTTGAAAGTTCAATTGCTCTTGATGATTTGTCTGAGGAGCTGTTAACAGAAGCACTAGTTTCCATTTTTTCACAAATGATAGAATCCCTCTTTCCTGAACTATCTGACAAAGCAAGTGAAAGTTCACATTCTTCTCAATTAAATTTGCTTTCAGAAAAAATTGTTTCTGATGTTATGCAAGAATTAAAACATTGCTCTGAATCTTCGACTTCTTCATTGGTTATACCGTCATCATCTGAATCATCTGACAAAGATAACAAACAAATTGCTTTACTCAAAAATAATTTAAAGAAACAAAAATCAACAAAATCACGGGCTTCTGGAAAAATTAGCTGTCTTGGTAAAACTTCTACCATTGCACAAAAGCTTGCAGATAAGAAGCTTTCTTCTTCTTCTTCAACAACAGAGGAGACGTCTTCAAGCATAAGTAGCGATGCAGAAAATTTAGTTCAAACAGTTCTAAGTAATATATTATCAAGTAGGCCTCATATGGATCCACAGAGCTCCAAGACATTCAAATATGAAAAGCCAATTCGGCAGCAAACAGCAACTCCACGTGGAAATGACCTTTTGAGTGAAAGTTCTCATTCATTGGGTGAAGCATTGTCAAAGGAAGATTTGGTTAGCATTTGTTCACAAATTGCTGATACACTTTTACAGAAATCCCCCAGCTTGTTATCTCATAGACCAAGCCCCTCTCAATTAAGTTTAATTTCAGAAAAAATTGTAACAAATATAATTCAAGTTTTAGAAAGCAGCCTTGAGTCAGCCACTAACCCCATACATAAACATCCAGTTGATGATGATGCTGGCAAAAGTAAATTAGAAAAAATTATTCCAATTAAACCACCAATTCGCGAGATAACCTCAGATCATACAATCATCAAAACACAACATAAATCTGACTCCTATTCAAGTGAAGAAACATCACACACAACGTCGAGTGAAGCAGAAGATGTGCTTCATGATGCTTTCAATGAAACCACAATTAGTGCAATTTTTGGCCCTGAGAAGGAAGCTGTACCTGTGAAGATTGTCCCACATAAACGAGAAACGCAATTGAAAGTTGATCCAGAGATCATCTCAGACCACTTATCTGTTATTTCAATTAAAACCCAGCCAATTGAGATGCTTCAGCAAATGAGCTTGTTACACACTGGTCAGAACCTGCAGGCTCTTCGTACGGCATCAATAGCACATCCAGAATCATTTGTAAAATCTGAGAAGGGAGTACATGTCAGTTTTAACAAAGGCATGTCTTTTAGAAGAGGTTCTTTGGACAACTATGGGAGATTAGATGTAAAACGAAAAGAGGTACGTTCTAAAACAAAAATGACCTATAATTTCTATCATGATGCAAAACTGTCCTGATTTTTATCCTCTGCATGCTACAGACCATTCCTTGGTGATAACTTCCAGGGCTTTGTGCTCAAACTGACAGTGGTAGCTGTTGATATTTTTTCTCTTCCTTTCATTGTGAAAATGACTTACCTTTGTTTGACACTTTCCCTAATGCCTGGCTACAAATCAGACTCAAAGTGGGAAATTATTGAGAGAAATTTACCTTCTACTGATATGCTTGGATGCTTCACCAGGTTCACCACAAAATAACAAATGCTTTCTTATTCAGCTGTGCAGATGTGGCAAATTGGAGCAACCCCTGAGGCTCCCAGTGGCAGCCTGATATAGGCAGTCAGGGATGCAATTGAATATTTCTTTGATCTGCAGCTGTGTTTGCATTTTGATTTTTTTTGGATGAATTGCCAGTGAGTCTTATTAACTAGGGTATGAAAATCCCATTCTGCCTCTTTTTCAATGCCATGGTGTCCTGCCATTCACCTATATAGTACGGTTAGGAAAAATCTTCCCTGCCTATTTCATAAGGACAATGTATTATTCTCCTGCTTGGGTAACTCTTGTAGTTTGAAGCTTAGACAGTTCAGTTGCAGTTGTATAGATACTAGATGAGGTCATTAAAAATGTAATTCCTCTCCAGACTGAAGATCAGGGCCAAAAACGAATTGCCTGAAATTTTTTCTCTGTTCTGTAGGCGTAACTCTTAAGACAAGTCAGATGCAACAAATTCTGACCTCTTTATCAATGAAGCATTTTTAAGTGTTGGTGGTTTTTCACTTGTCATAAGCATAGAAGGTTTCCCATGCCGAGTGGTGGTTAAGGGAGACAAAACACATTCTTACATCTGTTTTCCACAGCTTGCTTTTTGTGAAACAGATCACCAGCCTGAAACCAGAGACTGTAAGCTTGGGCCATTCTGTATCAAGACTTGGTGACCAGGATTTCTCCACTGTTCTGCCTGCCATAGTTTTATTTGAAGGATTTGCAGGTTGACAATCAGCCTGTTTTGCTCCGGTGTTAATACACTTTCTGACGTCATCAAATTCTGGACTGTGAAAGCTCGCAATATATGTGACTTCCTTGCCCTTCTACAATCACAGAGTAATGAGACAACCTTAGAGACTTACTTGTGTAAAAAACAAACAGAACTGAGTAGCTAGGACATGGATCCACAGGCATGAAGGTCAAATGCACATCTGAGGTGCAGAGAGGCAATTCTTTGTCAGTCTTATCCCATTAAACAATGCCTTGATCCCAGAATGAGCAAAGTGAACCTTCTGTTCATTGCTTCCAATGCAAATATATCCTTCCTTCATTAAGAAGAGTAAAATTGCACTCCTGGTGTAGTTCTATCAATGCCCAATATCTCCTTCAGCTGCTTTTATTACAGTTATGGCAAAACTTCCCTAATTTTATTCTCCCTTGGAAAGAAAACCAATTTTCCATTTATTTGATGTATCAGTGGGCTATTTTATTTTTCAGTTCAATGCAAGGACACCCTGGTCCTTCTCAATCTATCTGTATTTAAATAACATTCTGCTTCTTTACTCTTTCTGGCAAAGTGGACAACTTCACATTTTCTGACATTACATTCCATCTGCATATTTTTGCCCATTTGCGTAAAGGGCTAAGATTTAGCAAAAATCAGCTAAGTGTCACTTTCAGAGGGTTTCATGGAGAGTTACCCCTCCCTGAACTCCAGTGAGTTAGCTCACGCAATTCTCTGCTGCACACCTCATTATACATGTACCATGTCTGTATTATGGGCCACTCTTGCTCTCTTTTTGTGCTCACCAGCAACAGAAGTACTTGCCATTATTGTAACTTTCTGGGTGTTCTGCCGCAGGCACAGTAATTAAAGTCTAGTTATACATCAGGTCAGTCAGCTATAAGTTGTCCTTAACAGTGCACACAGACAGAAAGAAACAAAAAAGAAAGGGTTCTGAGGGCATGTGGGTGGCATGGGTGACCTTTCGTTGCTACTTTACATCATCATGCGTCTGATTGACTGGCATAGTTAATGTAGCTACAAGAATGAAGGTGTGCAGAGTGCCTACCCTTGATGCCTTAACATCTTAGAAGCCTGTCTAAGGAAGTGCTGCTCATTCCCTAATACCTGGCGTAATGTAACACCTTGTCATTGTTCAACATTAAATATGGCCTACCCCCAAATGACTTAGCAGCACCGACACAACTGACTTATCACCAATCTTCCAAGTGGTTGTACTGGACTTGTAGAACTGATCATGGCCCACACTCTATGTTGTATTCATACAGAAACCCCTGACCCTGATAATTCCAAGTGCCTGACTGACTATATTCAAGCCCCTGGACTGAGAACGGATGATGCCAGTGCTTCCTAACTGTCAACAGTCGCCCTCAGTAACTGAATTTACTGGGGACTACTCCCCTTAAACCTTCACATATGGCTGTTTGATTGAAGCACATTCATGTGTTTGGCACATAAACTGCTGGCACATGCTGCAGGTGTGACATTGATGCAGCGTACTGCCATAAGTCAATCTTACTGTTCCCTTGACTGATCATTACTTGCAAACATGACATGCTGCCTTGCTTCGTGTTTGCACTAAGAGGCAAAATAAAACAGAAATACATTGATTCTGATTGATGTGATAATACACAAAAAGACCGGGCAAAGCAAGGCAGGGATTCTGTGCACATCCAGATGGGCACAGAGTGAGTGCACAGAGTGTGCAAAGAGCAAGCGACGAACTCTGAGATGTACCCTGTTCCAATCCATGAGATGTGCATTTGTCCCAGTGTACAAAGCAGCTGGAAACAGCACAGGCGCATAGAGTTATATAGCCACACAGCAGAGAACTGGCCCTTTGACCTATTGAGTCTGCACTAACCTCTCTAAATTAATCCCACTTTCCAGCAGTTGGCCTGTAGTCTTGAATGTTTTTATATTTCAAGTGCTCAACCACATACCTTTTAAAGATTATGAAGTTTCCTGCTTCTACTACCCTCACAGGGGATAAGGCAATCACTACCTATGGAGCATGCCCTGAGGTGTTAGGGATTGCTGATCATGTTAGAGAATCAGAGAAGCAAGTGGTGAACTAGAGCCTCCAAGTACTCATTCTGACGTTCATGTCAGCAATTGTCACTCTAGTTTCTCTCCACTGCATTGAATAATAGCAAACTGCATACAGTGGAGGTAAGAATGGATAATAATCATACATTAATGCATGGAAATAAGCCTTTTGCAGTTCATTAGGGAGATTCTCATCTTGCCATTCAAACCTTCGGTGCAAAATTGGACTTTTTTATTCCATCAATGTCAGCAGCCTCATTTTTCCAATCCTGCCATAATGTCCAAACTGATCACTGTTAAGTGGTGGGAAAATTCAGCCCAACATATCTATAGTTCTTTTACAGCCTGTTTGTACCTTCCTTGCAATTTGTTTTCCTAACCAGCTTTGTATCATCAGTGAAGTTAACTGCAATAGTCTGTCCATTTCTCCAAATCATAAATATAGATAATCAATAGTTATGACTCAGCACTGATCAATGCAAAACTCCACCAGTTGTAGATCATTAATCTAAAAATAATCCATTTCTCCCAATTTTTTGTTTCCTCTTATTTAGCCAATTCTCTATCCATGCTAAAATATTATCTGAACACCTCAAGCTCTTATCTTGTTCAGTAACCTTTATAGGACACCTTATCAAATGTCATTTGGAGAACCAAATACACTAGATCTATTGGCTCTATGTATTAAGTGAGACTTCAGAGCTACAACTTGAATCACTATATTAATTTGCTCATCTAAGATCTGAACCAATAAAGCAGCAGGAGACAGTTTGATGCATTAACAAAGGAATTTTTTTTAAAGTTATGAACAATATCAATTAAAGCGGGCCTGCGACCTTTCAGGTTTAAAATGGATCTTGCTTTCTGGTTCAGTTTAAGGCGTTGGTTGACACTTAGGCTTTGGTCTCTCTCCAACACCTCCAGGCTCTCCTGTTTCCACTCAGACACCAAGGTAACTTTACTTTCAACCTTTAGTTCTTCTGTAATCAACTTGTTCAGAGATGTTAATATGCACCTCTGGAGCAGGTGGAGCTTGAACATAGATCTCCTGGCTCAAACTTAGGGACACTTGCACTGCATTTCAAGAGTCCTTACTTTCAAACTTCATGCACACTCTGGTCACTGAAAGCAACTGCTTGTTTTTTTTAGATTTCAAATGTTTATTTGCATAGCAAAACAGAAACTAAAATCAGTTACTATGCATGCCAAGAGACCTAATGAAATAGCACTCTACATAGTTGACCGAACTGAGCACAGGATCTTGACATCTTCACTCCATTTACTTGCATTTGGTTATTAAGTTTCCTGTGGTCTTTTCTGGGCTCCTCTTGAGACAAGCAAAGTCGTTAGTGCCATCTGAAGTACTAAGCCAGCCAGATGGCCAGTAGACTTTTCCCCAATCCCCTTTCCAAAGGAAGGGCAAGTGGACAAAATGGATTTGGGGTAGAAGACATGGGTGGGGAATGAAAGGAGATTGATTGGGGTAGGATCCAGCCAGTTCACTCAATACCAAAGCTTTTTCTTAGGAAATGTGTAGCTGGAAGGCAATACTTGTAGAATATCCAGTTCAAATCAGAAAAAAAATCACTTTCATTGTGCTACTGCTTCTTTTGCTGCTTTCTCAGTAGCGCTTATTAACTCTTTCCAAGCCACAACCAACAACATGATCAATTACATCATTACATTCTGATTGGCCATATTGTTAACTGGTTTAAGCGATGCATCATCAATGTCCAGTGAGCTCTTAATAGTCATTGACATTGAATGATGCCACCTGTCATGACTGGTTCCCTAAGCTGTCAATTATTCATGGATCCATCCTTTGATTAATTTTTATTATTGTCACTTCATGACTTTTTTACTAAGAGGACAGTTTGAAATGTTCTTTAGCCTTTTGTTT